CGCTGGCCTTACGCGTCTCGACATGGTCCGGAATAGTGACATCCGGAAGAGCGTTGGAATACAGCCTTTGATTCTCCAGATTGAGAAGTCACAGCTGCGATGGCTTGGGATGTGTTGCGAATGCCTCCAGAAAGGAACGCTGAGCAACTGATCCTTGCAAATCCGACCGGCAAATGGCCCAGGGGACGGCCAAGATTATCCTAGTGGAAACATATGGAGGGAGTCTGTTCGAGACTGCATTTGTCTTCTGCCGAAGCTCAGACTCTGGCACAGGATCAGGAACGTTAGAAGCACTGTGTGACGTATCTGCCTCCGCGACCCGAAAGGAGAAGCGACGATGGAAGATGAAGATGAAGAATTCATTACTATTGTGCATCTAATATCCGCAGCTGCTGAGGTCAGCTATGCCCGGTACAGGATAGCCATTCCTTACGTGGTCTGTCATTTAACGCTCATATTGCGTCGAAGCATTCAGTTCAACTGTCATTCTTGCTCCTTCATTAAAACAACTACAACTGTTTCCTTGCCGTGCAACAAGACTGACCTGAGAGAGGCAAGGTACAAGCGTATTTTCGTGGTAAGAGCTTGGATAGTGTTTTCTCAGCCTAAATACTGGATAGGTTTCCAAAGGCGATCCTCTTATTTAACTCTGGCTCGACAGTACCATCACTGGAGACGATGGAGCCGAGATACTTAAACCGATAAACCTCCTGAAACGCTTCATCTACGTGTTCCAGTTGTAAATTAGATGTCGGCTGAATTACTCACAACTTCCGATTTCTGGGCGTTAAGGAAGAGAACGGCTTTTGAAGTAGTGTTGCATATGGAAACCATGATATGACAGCACGCGCTGCGTACTACTCACCAGGACAATATCATCTGCGTACTCAAGGACTGCAAGATATTTAGCCGGACATGGTTTAGTGCAATCAGCTGAAAATTTAGTGTCATCAATGACTCGCCATAATGTGGAAAGTATGGCGGTTTGGTGAAATGATGTCACAGTCTGTCAGTTTTACGTTGTCTCATGTGCTTGCTTTACAGCTAGAGTATGCCTTGACCCTCCTGACTGCTGGATTAATCAACACAAGACATAAACCGTAAACAAGAAAGTATAAAGATTTTTTTTGCTTTTGTGCTTTCAAAATTCTACGCTTTGTTTTATTAAATACTTTGTTGCAGAAATGAACAACTTCTAATAGTCGTGCAATAGCAGTTAACAATACTATATCAAGATTAATCCGTTTTACACATAGCATTAAGGTAAGTTTGGTGGCCTTGATTCCAAGATGCAGCAATACCAGGGCTCAATATACCTGACCGGTGGATGGCTGGTGCCCAGTCACTGTCTGTTAGCCGTCGTCAATGCGAATTAACTAAGAAAGTCCGCTGATTTCTCCTGGCATCCAGATCATTCCAAACCATTGCTATTACAGTTTTTGGAATTAAGAACAGGGGCTCACAAGCGAGTGCATCTCAGATTGCCATACTCTAGTGCTTGCCGAAACTCAATAAACTACACTTGTAAACTATCCCTAATCAAAATTCAAGAGGAACTTTTGGAGATCCTAGAGCATAAAATCGGCAAATTCAAATGGGCCTGCTACTGAGGTTATTTACGCAAATGTATACCGTGAACGTGTCATACTCGCCTTTCTTTTCAGAAAAATTAATAAACTCATACCTCTTAATAAGGTAACAGCCGTTCCACGAAAAATACTCTTCAGACCGCCTTCTTTATACAATTGCTTCACGACATCAATAGGGCCGGAATACTTTGCTGTGTGCTTTGAATGTTGCACTTGCAAGAGACATTTTATCCGCTCGCCTGGTGCCATCACAGTGGTTGTAAGAACACCAGCAAATGCACCAGCATTGAAATTTTGGAATGGGCTAAAAATAAATATACTTTCATTAATATGAAGCAATTCGCTGTAGATCGCTGAAGTTGCGTTAAAAACAGTCAGTTTTCCGGAGAAACGGGCATTCGTTTCCAACAAAACTCTGAAGCAGCATTAAAAAAATGACTATTAACTCAATCAACTTTGTTCAGTAAGCATACATTCCGTGACTCGGTAAATTAGCTACATCCGTGGTAAATTTCGTAAATATTTTCATTAAAATCGTCACAGATCTCTAGACTAAAAATCCTCGCAAAAGGTTCCCAGTTCAAAAGTCAATTATTCAAAATTATCAGTAATTAGGTTTAGACAATGATTCCAAAAAAATGGTAGGTCCGACTATAAAAGCAAATGCAGTCAGCAATATCCAATAATTATCACTGAGAATATCCTTCTAACACCAATTCCAAATGTTAATGTCATATTGGCGTTAAGTGGTTTAATCTATAAGTAGATCTAGCTTAACCGTTGCCAGTGCTGTACAAGCTGAAAATTTTTTATGTAATAGTCTGTCTAATAATCTGCCCAAATGTGTCTAAAATTGACAATCTCTCATTAGTATATAAACTTCATCTTTAGATTTATACTTTGTGCTGAATTTTAGTTAGCAGGTTGGTCAAGATGAATTGCAGCCATGGGGTGCATGCATAAAGCGGCATGGCGGTATTCTCGCATGCTTTGTCGTGATTACACCAAAGCACTATTCTATTTATTCGCAGGTCGACGACCTACTACGTATTTTAGGCTGGCTGCGCAGAACCATATTGGGGTGAATTTTTTGTTCAAAACTTACAGCTAATCAGTGAAAATTTGTGCCGCGCGTTGGCCTTGAAGCCAATACTTTACCTTGCAAAGCAACGTACTAACCCATGGCGATACTGCCCCTTCTCCCAGGTCGGTAAATATTTATCAGGTTACGATTTCTGAGGTTGAAAATTAGAGCAGTTAATCTTCTTCGGTATGAAACAGGTAACAACAGCTTTATTTTCATATTTTTACTAAAATGGTCTGAAACAAGGAAGTTAAGTATAACTTCCACAAAAATAATAGATAATAGTGGAACTACATATTCATATTACCTATGGCATAACGTTTCAGACAAAAATAACTGCAAAGGTCATCAAAATGCCACTGTAACCAGTCATTTTTTTCTTGTATAAATCCACGACTATAGGGAGGATTCAAAACTATGTTTGTGATCAAACTGAAAACAGCCTAGAAATATGGTTTACTCATAAAGAATGCAAAAGATATGATCAATCAGGAGATTAACAAATGCCGATGTTTACGCTAGTGTCTCACGAACTTTCTTTAAGGTCAAGAGAGATGAGTTCGGAAGTTATTTTTGTGGTTTGCATCTGCTGTATATTTGGAGCTAGAAAACAAGCCCCCTTCGTCCTCGCTGGCGTTTAATAGCTTTTTAAGTA